TCGCAACCCATTTTACTAAGAATACTGAAAACATGAGACTGTACAGTCTTCCTTGCTCACTAAACATGAAAACAACAAGCGACAGATTAAAAAAGACTAAAACCTTTAAAAAGGATGGAATGAAAATGGAAACCTTAAAAAGAATTGACGGAAAGCTGCTAACCCGATGAGCTGTTCCTTCAATTATTATATCGCTCCATGATCTTCCTCCCAACTGTCCTGCTCGATGGAATCATCGTTGAGCAACATCTAATGTACATTTTATGCAGTATGATTTTGACGTCTGCATAAAATTTTTTGAGGCTATGCGACTGTCGAATGTTTTACAGTTGCCTTAGCTCAAACTCAACTTAAAGTCCTACTCCAAGTCTAGATCCCCTCGTCAAATGTATTCCGTCAGCCTCAGGATTACAAGGTTCGTTTCCGACACGATTTCATAATCAATGTTTAATAATTTCTTCAGCTGTCTGATAATCACAACCTAGCTTGAAATTTTGGAACCAAATACTGTTCACTATTTGTGAAGAATGCACGCCATAAACGATGAAATCCGCAAGCGCTGTGTCAACGGCAGTTTGAGGAATGCCTACTCCATAAACACGAAATGATTCTTTGATTAGCAACTGACTACCGATTGTGGATGCTCTCTCACTAGACGAGACATTTCCACATTCCGCCAGAGTCCTAGCAATAAAACATGGTACGCATTACAGCAATAAATACAAAATCTGAATTTTAATTTTGTGAACTTTCATTAGCATATAAATAAATTACTACCCCCTTCCGCAGTTGGATGCGGTTTTTCATTTATTTCTCCACATTTGGCAGGATGCTTCCTTTTGAAATGATTTTGAATGTTCTAGTTGGAAGCGATCCTTAGATTACTCAAGTAAACCTTATTTCATACATTTTCGGGAAGCAAATCTTAGACTGGAAATTATAGATCTCATCCCCTCTACTCTTGAATAATGCATAATCATTGAGAATGAGGCCAGGGATTCTGAGGCGTGCAAATTATCCTCATGGCTCATTATTTTGTTCCTAAAAATATTTCTAATCTGATTCGATTTTTCCGACAATGTCGAAAATGGTATCGACGGAAAACTGTCACCACCTCCAAAAATACCGTAGCAATAAGTGTTGTAAGAAATATCAAATACTAGATTAATAATTATCCACAACGGGCAATCTATTCGCTCGCAAGTCCATATCTTCGAATGGCTCACGTGTCTCAGATAAAAATGGTTCCGCTTAAATAAATGTTTGAAACTGAAAAGAAACGAGAGGAAAATAACAAAAAACGAAGAAAACTTCATTGGACTGCAGCATAACTTACTGAAGGGCATATAACATAGTGAGCTGAGACGGAATGCTATTGGGACACTTATAACGAACTGATTGAATATTCAGTAAGCTGACAATTCGCCAAGTGACGGAACTCACATTTTTATTCGGTAGGTGTTAAGAAATGTGAATTTATTACCATTCAACGAGAATAAACCCGGGCAGTTTGTATATCATTTTGTAGTGCAGATTAATGAGAATAAAACATGATATAAAGGGTGGACAGCAATAAAGATATACTCGAGATTTTCTATTTGGCTTGAAGTAGAAAAGATCAAGAAATAATTGAAGTTGTTAATCATCCGACAGGGAAAATTCATAACCACAATGTATACCATGTTGTAGCCAAGATTGAATGTCCTAGAAATACGTAATGAACTTTGACCAAAAATGTTAAATTACGAGAGTTATGTGTAAGGAAGACGTATACCATCTTGTAGCTGAGATTGAGCACTTTCCAAAAATTCAATAAACTTTGCCTAGTAATGTCAAGTTAAGAGAGTTATGCCACTTGGTGTGATTTTCGATAGTCACAAGTGGTACATACTGGAGTAATTGAAATTTTCTCTGCTCTGTTTTCTCTGTGACAAAGATAATTGCATAAATGTGATAAAAATGTGATCACGTTAGTAACGATATCGTTATTGATAGTATAATCTCGCTTTTCGCTTACCTTACAATTTCTTGCATGATTGAGAACATAGACTTATCATCATTATTATCCATACCTTTATTGCTATTATCACTATGACTATTGTAGAACGCATCAAAATAACATATTCATAATTGTCAGTCTATTATCTTATCACATCATATCATCTTTCTGTCTCTTACGCTCTGAGAAAAGCACCAATACTTTCTTCGTTCCGTTCTAATCTTCTTTTCATCTGTTCGTCTGTTCGAACCGAACCAAATCAAATCAATCAATCACGTTTTATATGAATCAACAAAACACTCACGCAGTTCTTCCAATCGAGTTTCAACGATGCTCTGCATCCATCGATCCAGCACCGCCATTAACCGAACCAACACAAACAAACATGCCAATATTCAACAAATATCATTTCACCACATACCACACACTACATAACTATATAACATAACAAATGAATTTATTTTCTTACACCCTACATAAACTTATCTATTTTTCGTTTCTTCTTTACGATTCCAACTCTTTCTTTTCATTTTCAATTCGTTCATTTCTTACTTCACTACGGATTACATTTAGTTGTATGTGTTGTGTGTGTGTTTGCATTTCGTGTATGCAGCAGCATTGTTATTGTTGCTATGAACGCTTTAAATGCGAATATTACTGTTTGTGTAGGTAATGAATAATAGGCTGCAACACAGCGTTTACGCATATGAATCGAGTTGTCTGCAACTGCACATTTTCTTATTGCATCTCAAATTCTTTGGTTACCTTTCGAGCTAAAAGACATTTGCTGCTTTTCTTTTGTTTTCATTAAAAGTAAACAGTACGTGTTTGTTTGGTGATATATATTTATGTGCATGTTGTTATGGCTCGGTTTCTGGGAATCAGTGACGCTAACCGAAAGAAAATTTCATTTCAACCCGACGGAATAATCCATTTTCACAATTCCGAACCTCGGGAATCACCAGAACTTTATTAGAAAACCGAAAATTCGTTTGGAATTTCTCGAGCTTCGGTCAGTTACTATTCATCGCTACTGCGTGACCTTTATTACCAGACTCTTTATTAATCCGCCCACCCATCAGTTCATCTAACCATATGCTCTGCCCACTTCTTCACTTTGTTGCTTTCTTATTTGTTCAGGTTCAGCAATATTCCAACTTCAACGAAATGAAATGAAATGAAACACAATTAAATGTTCAGAGTCTATTAAGCGAAAAATCAATCGAACTGATGTTCAAACAAACGATTGACAGATTCATTCATGAATATTGGCTGTCAAATAACCTCTTATAAATACTGTATTTTATAAGGCAATACTTCTTCACTTATGCATTTGTTTATGGTTATTTTTAGAAGTAATCAGACTAGACTGCTTATAGGTATGTGTAAGCAATAACAGCATTAAGTTGACACGAAGTAAAAGTGATCTAAATAGCATCTTAAAAATGTATTCTTTATCTATCAACATACGATGATGACTTTTTCTTATTCATCGGCTGTTCTTACCGTATAAAGATGGGCAAGTACATTTATTAGCTGCTCTCGAACAACTGATTGAATAATCGTTTGAATTAGCAGCAACATCAGATAGGCTAACAGAAACATCAAGCGTTATTGGTGGCAAGAGAGTGCAATTGCTCTTTGATGATTGCAACTTCCCCATTGAACACTCAATCGTTTGCGCAATCAAGTCACATCCTACAGCACGTGCTCTTGTTTATCGTCATTTCTCTACTTTTTGTCATCATATCATAACACTTCCCATACTATCATTTATTTGTTTCATTTTTTCGTTTTTATTCTCGAAGTTTTCCTTCTCAACGATTACTTACTTCTTTATTCACTTCGTTCATTTAAGTTTCAATGTAAATCTATCTCATTTACTTTTGTTTTCTAAATTAGATACTTCACTTTCACTAAAATCACCACTAACACATCGTCTTCAACAATTTTTAAAATTGAGCTCATTCTATAAACCATATTGTACCTCTTCAAGCACCAGTTCAAATTCTTTGTTTGTCATTTCTCTTATATCCACCTGCTGCAGTTGCCACCTCCATGATATTATTATTATCAACCGGTTTTAAACTCGCACAATTCATATCCTCTTTCTTAAGGACTCACCTGCCTACGTACATACATCACCGTTATATATTATGAAATATATGCACGTAATAATAATGATAATAGTAATACTGGTAATGCTTCTTGCAATAATATAGATTTGTTGATCGATCCGTGAGTGCCCTCTCTCTTCGTTATCGATCGATTGATTTTTTCTCAGATCAACTGTCCGTCAAATCACGCTTGTACTGTAGTATTCACACCATAGTTATTCGAGAAATCCTCCTCGAAATAGGTCGTTTGCCATTTTAAAATTCTTACCTTTTGTCGAAAACTTCTCCATTTTCTTAATCTCATTTTTTCCATTTTTAAATTGTGATCATTGCTTCTTTCTTCCGTTGCATGTTGATTTCGTTCATTAACTTATTAATCTATTTGTTTATATGTTTATGAAATCGTTCATTTGATCGTTGTGTTTTTCTTACCTGTCCTTCATTATTTGATTCCACATTTCATATTGTTTTTAACACGCATCTCTCCGAATCGATCTCATAATCGATGATAAACCTTGTCTGTTTCATTAATTTATTATTTCATTTCGTTCTATAATTTCTTAACACACCACCCCCGTCCACTCTTCAGTTTATATACGACTATTTGCAATACATTTAACATGAACAAAGCATAACCAACTGCACGTTAACCTAGCATTCATTATTATTGTTATGATTACTATTGTTAGCATCGTTATTACCATCGCCATTATTGTTGTTATTATCTTATCATTATATTATCAATCAACAGCGTTTCTGATAAACTTATTTCAACGATCCTCATAAATACATCATACTCTTCCGTGTTTTAATTCTCTACGCTGAAATCTACTCTCACTTGCAGTTTTTCAATTGGTTGATTGGAAAAGAAACAATAAAACGAAATGGAATATAAGCGGTTATTATCGATGACCGCTTTAATCCTAATGGCTGTACTCACCATTTACGTTGGATGTCTACGCTCTTACGCGATCTATTTCTTCGAGGTAAGCGCTACTACTCAATGCATAACTACCACCATTCATTTGTCACATCACATCATGAGCCATATTTACAGCGTGATGCCAAACGAGTTTTCTTTCTGGAACAATGGACCGCTGCCGTCGTACCAATTGCACTATCGTTCATGCTAATCGTTTCATATCTAAGTGCCAAACGCGATAAAATACTTCAAGAAGAAATTGCTGCTAAAAAGCATTCACCCGTAAGGAACAGTTTATCTATCTGTTCATCTAATCATCCATATACATTTCCTACAAACTGCTTCAACTAATCCAAAACATAAAGCAAGAACAGAAATTCGGCTTGTTCATTCTATTACTGATTGATGCTCGTCTTTTCTTTTAATCTTTCTTAATCGATTTTTTCATCGTTGCTATCATCATCATCATCTTCTCTATTCCTCACCACTTATTCATTCTCTGATAGTTGATTTATCATTCCATCGTTTTCGAATAATTTTTGATGTTCTTTTTCTTTGTTGCTCTTTGATAGAAGAACATTGCCCAAAAACCAAAACGCAACAAAACCGTTCCATTCGAGATGAATCAATCGATCCGAATTGCTATACATCACCATACATAAGATAAGATTTATACGCCTTCATTGATCAATCCGTATTGAACATAGCAAAAAGAAAAGAGAAAACAAAACATATTAATTCCGAAGGCTTGGAACAGATCCAAAAGCGCTTTGCAGCCACCTAATCTGAAGAATTAGAGCAAGCCTAAGACCAATTCTAACCCCATCCCCCGCCCGTCTACACAAATGTATCTGCAAACACACATGATCGTTGGAATTGTCACGATACCTGTTATATATTATATGTACAACTGTCTAATCTAGTCTCTCTTCTCTAATCCAGTTCCACGAAAAAAAATCTCATTTATTCAGTCGCCTCAATCTAGTCCAGTGATTCGCTCAAGGAAAATATCGCGTTCATCCGATCTTGAAAGCATTCCCGAAATGGAGACGACCACAGCCGAATTGAACGCTAATCGCGATCAGAATAATGCAATGATGCGTACGTTGCCAGTCTTTATGATTATTCTTCTTATATTACTGCTACTTCTGTATTATATTCCCGTCCGCCCACCCTCCCTCCCTCCTAGTTATTGATAGACTGTTTAATCAAATGCTTAATCAGTGAACCCACTTACTCACTCTCTCAATCAGTTAATTCACTTATCAATTCCAGACTCAATATCTGAATCCAGTGCATCTTCATCATCGTTGCCTGCTGGCTCTGATTCTGAGAATGCTGATGAACGAAAGCAAACACGACTATTGCATCAGCGAGCCAAACGTCGTGGTGATCAAAAAACAACATCTCATCAACAACAAACTTTCAATGAGATAGCTATTGAAGAACTAGTTAGAGGTTAGTGACTAAGATAAATGTCAGTTGTTTGCTTGATTTGTTCTTCTTAACATCATCATCTTATGATCACGATCGTGCTGATCAAAATAAACTTTTATGNTTGATTACAATATGATAACCAATTCAAGTTTATAGAAACTGAACGTGTGAATGAAAATGAACGAGTTCAAGCAACGAGTGCTGATCAGGATAAAGAGTTGGATGAAGATGTGCGTTTACAGCCGCAGACCAGCAATTCAGCTAGTGGTAATGTCTATGGCCATGAAAATATTGATAAAAACGAACGACCATCGTACAAGAATGATGATGACGAGCATAAATATGATCAAAACTACCGTAGAAACAACAATAATAGCCAAACTCAACAACCAATAAACAATGAATATGCGCAGCAAAACGATGAGAAACGCATGATGAGTGATTCGCATTCACGGTCCTCAACAGATAATTCACCACTTCGGCTCATCTCACGTAAATCTTCTGAGATAAGTCAAGAAGACATTCACGTTGAGCATAAAAAATCTTTGATCTATCAACAAATCGGCAAAGTAATTCATAATCCATTGATTCATTAACTGCTTCTTGATATCTATCCTCAACTAATCCCTTATAAAAGTTACACACACAAAATTCAAATCTCGAGAGGAAACTACTGAAAACTAAAAACTATCAGATTAACTCTATGATAAGATAGGACAAGGATGTGATAAAATGGATTTTATTGCAGATAGACTTCTTGCCATTCTCTTTGGATAGCGCTCTACGAAACTTGAGAAAGTCATCATTCCAACCAATACGAAAGGATTCGTTTTTTGATATTCTGCTCAAGCTGGTCGGTGTTCATTTACCGTTATGGTTAAGTGTTTTCGCGCTGCACATCACTCTTGTCGAAATTTTCAACATGAAATTTTGTTCGTTTTTCATTTTTATTTGTTCTTATATATCACCACCAAATACTGTCATTTCCTATCGCACCATTCGAACAAAGACTGAATTTATACGACCAACTACTTATGACTAATCCCTGTCTGCTCGTCTTGCACATCATTCAGAAGTTTGCATATATTACAGATTATCAATATTATTATCATCATCCGGGTATGAAGCTCTTAGCATTGGTCATTTCCATTTCGGTTGGATTGTTTCATGAAGTACGTTGGACATGGGTCGTCAACAATATTTTAGCAATTGCAGCTGCCTATGTTATTATAGCACGGGTTCAGGTTCATATTCGCACATCACAATTTTCATTATCAATTTTTATTTAACATTCACAAGTCATTATGAGTTTATCCCTCTCTGTTATCACTGATATTACTGATGTCATATTCTTCCTTCCCTGACATGCTTCCTCCCACGTAATTGATGGTATTGGCGTAGGTAATCATCCAGCTTTATGAAAGCCTAACTTCGATCATTGATTCGGCGAGCATAGAGGTGTAGGGCTATACTCCTATGTTGCCCAATGATTTCCAGGGAGAGGAACTCAAAAAGAGCCCGAATATACAAATCCAGTTGATCGATTGAACATGAGTCCAATGATCGCTCAGAGTAGCTATTTGAAACAATCGACAATAGTAAACCATTAATCTTTCGGGATCAATAGTATACAACGATTTTAATTAATGTAACTGAATAGATCCATCGTCATCGGCATATTAAACATTCCACAACCACGCAATAATGAATGCTTGTTACCATAAATACTTTGCATGATTAAGCATAGTCGAATACCAGTGTAGTAAATAATCATAAGAACAATGAACTTTTTACCGATTGACCAAAGCGATCGGCAAACCAACCCCTCAGCGTCGAAACAACAAGTAACACTTATTATTGTCAGTTAAGAGCGAAGATAAAGATTAAATGATTGTTATTATTATTATTGCTGTTGTTTATATTTATGATGATATTTGTTGTTCATAGACTGTAAGCTATATTGCTGGATTGATATTTTTGAGTGGCATGATGGTATTCGATCTGTTTTGGATGTACGGCATTGATCTATTCTGTAAGTTTGAACTCATCGCCTCATTATTTCTTCTCCTCACAAATCCGATACGAACTGATGCAAACCTTACTAGTTTTCAGCCACAGTAACTGCAGATATTCGAGCACCTTTAATGCTGATTGTACCATGGGGTGATGAGAAGAAACGTGAATCACTTGCGACACTTGATGTCATCGTTCCAGGTTCCGTATTCTCAACCATACAAAATTCATTTTTCTGCAAATCAATTCGCCCACTTTATTGCCTATGGTTAATCAGACTCAAAACGAGTACGCTTATGCAATTAGTTTATGAAGCAAAATCAGGACAAATATTGGAACGCAATTATACTTATTTGCTTACAAATAACTGTAAAACTGAACGAGAAGTGTGATCTATCAAAAAAGATGTGAGGTTAAAGAGGAGAAGATGGCTGGCGGGGGGGGGGGGGAGGGAGGAGGAAATGGCGATATGAAAAACTTGATTCCAGATTCGGATTCTGCATGTGCTAACGGTTTTAAGAAGCATATTTTGCAAGTTGTGTGAGAACGAAAATTCAACTTTTTGATGCAATGAAATTGGTGCGTTTTGGTCACTCTCCAGACTTTGTTGGTTATTTGCAAAATGAAAAAAAAGAACAATCAAATCACAGAAGAAATTGCATTCCAGATTCTACGCGCAAAACCATCTCAAAAAAATGATGTTGCGTCCTTGCGTCCTTTTTTTTGTTACATAATTTTCTTTATCTTCCATTCTAAATCAGTAAAAGCATCCACCACACACAAACCGCAAAAAATAACAATGACTGTTCGCAGTCCATGTGAAATGAATGCACGAACTTTTCAGTTCCCTGAAAACCGCGCCAATTTTGAACACGTGATCGTTGAAATTATTTTAGCGCACATAAATATTAGCGAATTACGCTTATATACGAATTAAGCGAATAAAATTAGGTGTATGAAATAAAATTCGATGGAATTGAAGATTTACAAAAAATTCAAAACAAAGCAGTGCAATTATGCACATGCTCGTGAACATGAGTATGCGAATGAAATACAAACTGCATTCAGAAATGAATATCGCATTTTTTATGGAACAAAAACAAACAAATAAAACAAATGGATAAGCACACATGAATGAAGATCTTCAATTCGATATATCAGGCAAATGATGGTGGTGAGGGAATGGTGATCTGAGAATAATAAAATAAGTGGATACAAAGTGGAAAAAAGCTAAAAACGGGATGAATAATAATGGAAGTTATCCATGTCAATCACAGAAGTTATTGCAAACAATAATAACGAAGATAAGAATGAGGCAACACTAAGCATTCTTTTCTATTGCAGGAATCTTTCTGAATATTGTACTGAAATTTGCGGATATGTATGATCCTCGTGCATTTTACCCGTCTTTTTACGCGGTCATCATTGGTCTCATCATAACATTCACGATTGCCGTCTATCGAGCCAAATCAACACCTGCAATGGTACTTCCAGCAATCTTCGCCATATTCACATCATTAACAAGTGTCGAGAGACCAATGGATCTGTTAAGATTTGAAATAAAACACTGACTGAAAGAGAATAGCAGAAATACATATGTTTATAAAATACGGTATGATTGAGTCAGTAGCAGTTCTCAATCAGGATTACAAGTAATAACTACAATGATAACGAAGTTGTCGGGCACGCTTGCTTAAGTTGCTCACTGACAAGTTCTTGACGTGGTGAAAAAAGAGGATGAGGTAAAGATCAAAAATTTTATGAAAGAATCAATGAAGGCTGCAACATACCGGTAACCTTGTAGTTTAGGTCGGAAGATTGTCATATGGATACGTGTGGTCATTAGACTGTTTGCATAAGAAGTATTTATGTTGTAATCATCAGCGCAAGTGACGCTAGCATGTTTCATTTAAACTAAATCAAGTCTAAGCTAGAGTTTGAATAGTACACGTACCGATTTTCACATAAAACCATGCCCGTAGTAGATAAGTTTCAACTGAAACGAAGAACATTGCAAAATTTTGTCTAGCCCCTCGACATTTCATTTTGTATCATCACAAATACATGATTATGAGTAGATGGTTCACTGAATCAGCCAGGCTTCACAAATATGTCCACCATTTTTACATTACATATCACCCCTTCCTAATTTCAACCACCAACCAGTATGATTCTCACTTTTCTGCTCTTGTTTTCAGCTTAATCGACATGCTTATTATTCGTTTGTATTAATATTATTATTGATTAGTATTAGTGCATAGTATTGCAATGTTTTATTATTGACGACTGTAGTGTTCCTCAAATTTGTATCACGCTCTAATGTGAGTGTTTAATGAATGCCGTTTTTGCTAAACTTCATCCGTTAATCTTTTTTGGATCATTATTATTGTTATTAGCATCACTCTTATAGTGTTACTGAATCTCAGTTTCATTTCAATTCAATTGCAAAGAACCTAACTTTTACGAAATAATATTACTGCTGTAATAATTGTCATTATTGTTATTATCGTTATTATTTTGCACAAATTCGGGTTTAAATCACAGGTCAGAAGCACTAGTGTATCGTATCTATTATCTCTGTGTGTTATTTTCGTTCATTCTGTTCTAAGTTGTACCTAGAAGTATAAGAAGAACTGCGTTCTCCGATTTGTTGATGAAAATTTTAGAAAATAAAATTTCTCATCAAAAACATCTTTTCATCCTTTTCCTTCTTCCTCTCTTTTCTGTTATTCGGATTATTCCGCCCTTATCCCTACCTATTTCTCATTTATTGGTTATAGAATTAATTTCGTGTTTGTAAAGAAAACCAAAGTGTTTTGCTATATATTTCTTAGTGCGTTCTTCATTGATTTATACTGTTTTCAGTGACATATGATATTCGTAGGGACCGTATTTCCTTTAGTAATTCTTTCCCGCATCCTACTCATTATCCCCTGCAACACATCCACCCCTTATCCTATTCTGTATGGTTTATGAGGGTATACATCTTTCTGGGTTTTTGATCAAGGAAATACGGGACACAATGTGTATTTAAAGTGCAATATTATTATATTATGCTTCATCATTATCAGTATCGTTGTCGCCAGCACTATCAGGCTTCTACTTCTTCGTTAAGGCTTTTGAAATCAATTAGCATTAGTCAGCAAAACAATAAAAACGTTATAAGAAGCATTTACAAAAATAATCTTTAATATTCCCTCAATTTGAACAAAAAAATCGAATTGATGTTTTGTTGATAGAATTATGTTCTCTTCTTTGAACGTTATTACTCTAATGATAATAATAATAATAATAATAATCACAGAATAAATTCACATTGTTGACTGAATCATTTCGAACTGCAAACCATCCACTGAACAAATTGAATCTTCCATCCAATCAAAAACACTCTGCAGTTCATGAAACTTTATCAATGCTTTTGTTGTTTCCATACCAAAACCTTAAGAGATTAATAAAGGTTCTAAATTCTTGTTTAAAAGATCAAGCCTGATCCTTATTCTGGGCTATAATCTAAGCCGTCACATAAGCTGATTTCTTAACTAATTATCCGATTATCACGAGTATTATTATTATTGTTTTCATCACTGGTATTATCATTATTGTTTTATTATTTCATACTCTAACCTAATTAAGATGGCATATTGGCCCCTTAATGGTGTCGTTTATCTTACTATAATACTTCTTTCCTTTTTCATGAAGCTAAAAAAACTAGTATATGAAGCATACGTGAACAAATTCATTTTTCCCTTATCTCCAGAGTGATAAAAATAACGAAAAAGTTGTGCATATAGCTGATTACAAGCACACCGTTGTTCTTACGTGACAACGGCGTGGTTGTAATCAGCTCATTGATTTGTTTAATAAATACATATTTTTAAAGCAAATAAATATTCTTTGGAACGTATATGTCTATTTAAAACGATTATTATCATTTAGTGTTACTTAATCAAAAGTGTTACATAATTGTTGTTGATTGTTGCGATTATGCGGTGAATCTATTTTATTTCTCAAAAAATGACATTGTCTATTTTTTGTAGTATATTTCTGATTGCTTCATAAATATTTTATCAGTCGATTCATTGTTATAATTGTTTTCATTTCCTTTAATATCATTTAACTCTCCAACAATATCGCACTTATTTTTGGCAACACAACAAAACAGCAAACATCTCGAATTTTGAGTGCTTACCTCAAATTTTAAAATTTCAATTTTGAAATTGGTCACTCTCAATCGCACTGATATGTCTGTTTCAATTACAGTTGAGTGGGCCCACGTCTCTAATTCCCTAAACCGCTACCAACCACTGTTAAATTTTCATATGGATATGGATCACATTATGCTAATCCTAATAAGAACGAATATGTTTGGTTTGAAAACTAGAAAACAACCATGTAAGGATATGATAGGGAAAGAGATCCAGCCTAAGTCATCCAAGTTGAAATTTTCCACTTTCAAAAATTTTCTTCCATCAGATCGCTTCAAAACGTGTTGTGATGGAGTTAACGAACAATCGGAAAGGTTCGACGGATTTTAGAGTGTTGAGCATGCTGAGCTGCAATTGAATCGCCGCTCATTAATTGTTCAGAATCTAGGCAGTCGCGTAACCTTTCAGCATACTAATATTACTTCCATGAACCAATCCACTCCTTGCAACTGCTGAACGTAGACATGAATGGATGGCATTCAGGTTTTCTTGCATCCTTCCATTAAACGTTTTAAGAAGGGCATATTCAATAACTTTCATGCGAGCAGTCATGCAAAATCCAACCATCTGACACCTCCGGGAATGTGCATCACTTATTTTATTCTTCATTGAACTCATGCTGATCCCAATGTACCGTAACAATTGAGCCATCTCCTTTTAGTTCACTCTTAAAATTCATATTTTCATTTGTTTCCTCATGATGAGTAAATATTCATGAGTTACGCTCTTCCAATAACGAATTGTCGACAGCGCACGAAAACGACCCTCCGACTCCGCAATCAAAATCATATTTCACTTCGAGAACGTTTCATCTCATTAACAAACAAAACGCAATAACCTAAAACAATCAATAAAATTTATTCAAAAATTTAAACTCAAACATTAATACACAAAAAATTTTTCCGACCAAACAAACGAACACCAATGTCCTTAAATCTAATGAATTCCTAATAAAAATTTTGCAATTAATCCACGAAACTAATAAAACAGGAAAGCTCTGTTACATAATTTCAAATCATCAACAATAACAGAAACATCAACAAAGAAATAACTGACAATGAGCAGAATCTAATTTTAAGTTGAAAGAACGTATACGAGTACGATGGGCGTAAAGCAAATGTAATATTTGATGTTTTGTAGTGACGAGAAAGGGGACGACGCTCCATCAGAAGTGTCGAATATGGTCTTTGAATGGATGATCGTGCATTCAGAGAATGGGCTAACGTGCATCTGCAAGACTAGATATGAGCATAAATCTATATCAGGGCCTAAACAGCGGTGTTAGATCACGGCTAGGCCTAAATCTGTAGTTGAGCCAGCCCGATGTTTTCGGCTACCAACACTTTGCGCTAACCCGGGAAATTAGGAGAAGTACGTGATAATTTTGTCTTCATTCAGTGGTATCAAAAACAGTAGGCAAATAATCAAAATATCTTCCAACTCTTTTTTTTTCAATTTTCTTTCTAAATGATCCTGATAATGATTATTGCTTACTTTGAACTATCAAAACTAGACGAAGTCAAATTGAATTAACACCGAACCAAATGACTGATGAACTGTACTTGAATTAAACTAAGCATGAAGTACAAGTGATCATTTATAATAATGATAATGATTGGTCCTCTGAATGTAAATAATGAAACTTAAAAAATAAAAATTAATTCTGAAAACACTCCAGCACAACAACAACACTTTCCATCAACAGTTTCCAAATAAATTCTTTCAATTTATAATATACTAAATACATATTCAATCATTCATTCGTCTATCCAATTCCATAACTCTTAAATAAATAATATAACAGGAAACAAATTACTTCAGTAGTACTAATAATAGAAATAAAAATAATAATAACAAAGAATGACTGAAATGCATCCTCTTCAAACACATCCAATAAGATAATGATGTCAAAATAGTACGCTAATCAACTACTAATACTAATAATAGTAATGACATCTTCAATTAGCAATAATGAGAACAGTGATCCTATACATCCAATGAAATAAACAACGACGAAGCACTGAACTAATCGATAACGTAAACAACGTATAGCTGACAACACATAATTTGAGAAGAAGAAAAAACCGAATTAATGGATAGTTAAGATCTTATTGGTCGATTAGATTATATCATCTGTCGAGATGCCGAATGAGAGAGGATGATGATTTATCATTGAAATGTTATTAACATGATGATAATAATCACAGACTAACAGTTTTTGCCAATGAGGCTTTAGATGAAATGAGTGAACTTGAACAGAAGAAAACGAAGAGAAAAAGGCAATAAACTGAGGAATGGAAATTTTTGATTGAATGGACTGATTAATGTATCAGATTAAGACTTCTTTTCACTTGTACGATTACATCTGCACTGGTTGGAAGGGCTGCGCTTTCGAGTATTGGTGCATAGGGCATCGGGACGTCCACTCCAGTAACACGATAGATTGGTGCATCCAAATAATCGAACGCTTCCGATTCGACCACCTTAAAAATTTCTTTTTTCAACACTACCCAAATTAGAAACGATGCGTAAAAATATAATCGTGATGATAACAAAATATAATTCTAACCCTCGCACTAATTTCAGAACCAATTCCGCAAGCTGCCCATCCAGTTTCGACGGTTATTAAATGATGAGTCTTATTCAACGATTCCTTCACTGTCGTCATATCTAACGGTCGCAGTGAACGTAAATTAATCACCTTAATATTAATAATAACGTCAACCGGATACTGACAATAGTAATAATAATAACTATAACAGTAATAATGCAGACATAAATAATAAGGCAAATCATAACACGATGAATAATATCACAATAAGCATCTCATACTAATGACAGTAACAAACGAATAAAACAACTCAACTACCCACTTCAACATTAATATTTTCCTTCGCCAATTCATCGGCAGCTTGCAGTGACATTTCAACAGCTTTTGAGTAGGTTACAATTGTGGCATGCTCACCAGTACGTTCGATTTTTGCCTTACCAATTGGTACCACAAAATCTTCTGAGAGCACCTCTGATGAGACTGGGAACGAATGACCGTACAACAACTCATTCTCCAATATGAGCACTAAATTATTTGCAGTTCAATAACTAATTATTTGCACTAACATTTTGATTGATTGACTCTTTAACTTGACACAAACGTAAAATAAATCAATAAAGCAGTGAAGTAAATCACCAGGATTATCGTCTCGAACAGCCGCTTTTAAAAGGCCTTTCGCATCCTCGGAGCTATACGGCGCAACTACCTTTAAACCAGGACAATGTGCGTACCATGACGAATAGTCTTGACTATGTTGCGCTGCTACACCTGCGGCTGCGCCATTCGGTCCACGAAATACCACCGGTACTGGTACCTACAAACGTTCATATACATAAGTGATCAATTAACATAGCCTTATGCCAAAGAAATTAATCAGCTTAAAATTAAATGAATACAGCTTTAAGTATTTTCAATGCTGCAAATAAATGATCGAATAAATAGGTAATAAAGACAATACAAGAACGAACCCGACTTGCAGACATGTAGCATGTTTTTGCAGCACTATTAATGATATGATCGATTGCTTGCATTGCAAAATTGAACGTCATAAATTCACAAATCGGTCTTAAACCAGCCATTGCTGCGCCCACTGCCAATCCTCCGAAGCCCATCTCCGTGATTGGCGTATCAACGATACGATGCTCACCATACTTCTTCCACAAACCTTTCGAAATCTGTTGGTATTATCATTATTACTACCATTTTTGTTCACAACATATTATCACAATCGTTACATATAAAACCTAATTACACAAATATTATGAATGAACGAATGATCGAAAAAATTAATAATTAATGTTATGTTCTACATCCGAACACGCTTCTTCTAAACGATAACAATTTTGCTTACTTAATTGAAGTTCGATGAAAAAAAACAATAAAACTGCATCTTGTAATGCACACAACATTTAACAACTGTTATTCTAGATGTAAAGTACTGTTCGAAATATATATCATCACCATCAAAATAACGTTCATAAAAAGCAAAAAACACGTTCGCAGAAAAGATACAACTAAATGATCACTTTCACTTAACACAACAATTTCATTTTGAACCAATCATTCTCACACCTGCAGCATCCTTTGAAATTGGCCGACCTAATTTTTCTAAAAATTCTACTTCTTTCCTTAATTTTTTGCATTACACTTTAACACCTAGTTAAATATGGAAGAACTACCGAAATATTCTTTTTACATTATAGTTAATCGAAGATAAATCAACCTTATAAGCTCCATCGTATTGAGCCACTTCCTCTCCGATGAGAAAAACACGTTCATCACGCTTGATCTCTTCATCAATTGCTTGATTTAACGCGTCTCGAACGGTCAATAATTGTTGACCTTTTGCGGCAGCTGCGGTAACTAAACATCGATGAGTGATAAACGTCAGTGCAGAAGTCGTTGTTGTTGCTGTTGGTGACGATGACGATAATAAGATCGTTTTCAGAGGACGTGATAAAACACTGATACGGCTCTTAAGTGCACACGCCATTTCAAATGCACTTATTTTATAATGTAGACCGAATCGCTTAATCCAATTAAAATTACCTGAAAACAACCGCTTGACATTCTCTCAACTCATTGTTTCCAAATTTCTAAGAGGATTCTTTGAACATCACGATTTGCGCAAACGCCCTAGTTCTTTTCAGTTCGAATACCGAAAAACTTAATTCAAACTGAACTAATCTGTTACCAAACCGTTGAAAACCTCGTACGTCCTATCGTATTTTTTCAATCATGTATTTTTGACCTGAACAGTATCAATTCCCGAACAAAACGATCAATGAGAGCACGGTTCAACAAAGAAATACGTGAATAAAAAATGGTGTTAACACAAAGAAATGCACCTATAATCAGACAGACGCACACAATGAATGATTGATTGATTACAAGACAGACGACAATGATGAAACTCACAAATAAAAAGCACAAATATTGATATCGTGATATTGCTGCTAGATAAGCATATGAGCACTGACAAAAGGCAGAAAGAAGTTCGTCAGTCGCATCATCAAAGTTCATAAACAATTAACTGACAAGGTGGTCTCCGATGAAAGCTAATGACTAATCGATCACCTAGTCTATGGCCCATTTAGGTGAAATTGTCTTCCGATTACTACAGGAATCCTTCTTTCAAACAAACAGGAAGACTGTGCAAACAGGCAATTTGAAAATGATATTTCTATAGAAATAAATCACTGATGAACATAGAGATCAAAAGGAAATAGTTTAACCATATTATGAAACCGCCCAATTATAGTACATACCTTCACAAATCCACCAATAGCTTTGAAACAAAGCGAAATCCCTCAACAACATATATAATAGTCTGAAACCAGAGAATCTGGTGAATCTGATGGTGCCAAGACATCATGGTGTTGCCGGGCAAACTTTGAATGCTGAGAATCTGTTGAATCCGACAGTAGCAAGAAATTATAGTGTTATTGGGCAAATTTGAGAGTACGGGTAGTTTGAACATGGTGCTTGAGGTATTCATGTAGAACTGTATCACTGATCACGTTACAGAGAGCAAATGTGCAGAGTTTAGCGATATTATAAAATCGCAGAAGTAGTTTGATAAACCTTCACAAAATCGATTATATTTCTTGAAAGAAGCGAAATCCGTCGACAATATATAATATTCTGAATGCTGTGAATCAGCTGAATTCGATGGTAACAAGAAACTATGGTGTTGCTGAGCAAACTTGAGGGCACGGGTAGTTTGAATATAGTGTTCGTGGTATTCCTGTCGAACTGTTTCATTGATCAGGCTAAAGTGATGAAATGTGCAGAGTTTGGCAGTATTGTAGAATGGCTCTTGAAGTATAAACAAAACAACATATCCAAGGAGGTATAGCTGATTTTCTGAATATATGTCAAACTACTTGAGCGATTCTGTAACATTGCCAAACTCAGTGTATTTCATCTCTATGGCTTCATCAATGGTATAGTTCTATAGGAATATCTCGAGCAGCATTTTCGAACTACCTGTATCTCCATGTTTGCTCAGTAACACCATAGTTTCTTTCTTGCTCTTTCTTGCTATTATAAAATCGCAGAAGTAGCTTGACAAACCTTCATAAAATCAGTTATATCTCTTGAAATAAGCAAAATCCGTCGACAATATGCACAATATTCTGAATGCTGAGAATCTGCTAAATCCGATGGAAGCAAGAAATTATGGTATTGCTGGGCAAACTTGAGAGCATGGGTAGTTTGAATATGGTGCTTGTAATAATCCCGTAGAAGTGTTTATTTGATCACGCTGAAGTGGTCAAATGTGCAGAGTTTGGCGTTATTATATAATGGCTGAAGTAGTTTGACATAGCATCAAAAAATCAGTTATATCTCATGAAATGGGCAAAATCCGTCGATATAAAATCCGTCACTTTATGCTATATAATATAAAGTCGTTCCCGACCCGGAAATGGCACCGATTTGATCGGGGTTAAGGAATGCGCGTAAGTTGGCCTGAGTAGTGCCTTCGAGTATTTGCTTACAATTAGGTAACAAGGGTTCTCGGACTCACTGTGCGCAATATCCCTTAACAGGTGGTAGTTGTCATCGGGTTGATCATTGGCTACATGCATGAAATCATTTCACTTAGTTTGAATGCTGCTGAATGCGTTGTAAGGGGAAATCTCTCTGGTTTGTGGTTGCTCGCCGAAGCATGTCTATATGCCACGTTCATAGTGCATTCACACAACTTCTCTGAGAACATGTATTTTGATATCTATTGCCAGTGTGATTATTACTTATCGTTGGTGTTGGTGAAAGAACTTGTTGATGCAAAGAAATCTAAGCAGACGACAGTCTACAGCAGTGGTTCTCATAGGAGGTGAAATTATCCATTTTGGTTAATTTGGGAGTCTCATGGTGGATGACGCATTCAATAATTTAGTTATATCTCCTCAACTAAGCAAAATCGCCTGAAAAAAAAATTCTGAATTCAGAGATTCTGGTCGATCGACTGATGTGAAGAAATTGATATGTTACTGGTCAAAGCTGAGAGTACGGTAGGCTTGAATGTGGTAACCCCTATAGTATCAGAAAAATAGCTATATCTCCTCGTGCAAGGGGAATTTTCCGGCGAAGTTTTCGTTATTAGAATGCGGAGGTTCTGCTCGATCGAACAGTGTATAAACATCGATATGTTACTGGGCAGGCTTGAATATATCAAACCTATATTTATATAGTAATATTGGTATTTCGTGCAGTTGTTATATTATGATAAAACAACATTGTGATGGTGTTTCTTCACATGGGTATGTAAATGCGATAAGTTCATGGTAGCACTCTTCTTTCTCCTATTTTCTGAGTATCATTAGCTCATGCGGGTCTGAACAAAAGTCTGTTTAGTCACAAATGTTTCGTATGATCTTCAATGCATTGGCTGACATCGTCTCTCATTAACATTGGGGACTTATTGAGAAAAACTAACATTTCTTGTTGTTTTGTTAGGATGAGACGCCACTGTGATGGTGTATTTTTCATTCGCATATCTAAACGCGGCTCGCTCATGGAAACACTCGTCTCTGTCCTATTATTAAGGATTTAGTGAGTAACTTACACCAGATTTGAAATATATTGACTTAGCCAAATGACGGAGCGGCAATTTAAATTAATAGATGACAGGAAACGTGAATTTCTTGCCCTTACACATGTAACGTGATCAATACAAGCAAATTATGTGCTGTTCGATGCAGGAATATAAATCGAATGGTACATAATTTATAGTGTAGAACCAGGTGAATGGAATTTGAGATATGCAATGAGAAAGGAATCGCAACATACTCGGGCTTTTCCATTTTACTTGCCCGTAACATATTAATGCATATCAGTGTTCATCGGGGAACGGGGTCCCCGTCGAGGACCACGACGGGGAACGCGGGAGCGCTCCCCCCCCCCACCAATTTGTCCCCCGACTTTTTTGCGGGTACCCCCCTCCACGTCTACTTTTCTCCCCGCGGGGACCTTCCCGTCCGAAAAACTGCTCTCCGACGAACACTACTGTGTGCTGGTGTATTCGCATTGACTGTTTTGCTCTGCAATATCATTATGTGCATTAGATTATTGTTCACTGGTGTATTTGCATTCATTGTTTTGCTGTAACTTTTTCTTAGTGGTGTGTGGATAGAGCTGTGAATTGTCATGATGCGATTTGATTTCTTTGCAGGGTGTTCTTTTTTTGATCAGTATTGGATCATCCTTATATCAGTTGTGCTATTCAAAATGCCACGTTTAATTCGTTTTCAAAATCGGACGATTGGTGATCCCTACTGCAAATGCCGCAACATGAGACAATTATGGTAAGGGCAGTTTTATCACTTTTACCTTGCATAATAATTCCGTTTTGTGTTTGATTTTAACGATGTTCATGTGGTGATAATTTGTTGTCATATGGTAATGTTGCTATGTTTAATTGGTTATGTCTCGTTTAAATTCGTTAAATCTGTGTTCTCATTTCGTTTTACCTTATATTCTTCTCCAACGATTTCTTTTAACCACACATAACGCACATTTGTTATTTCTTCATTCGGTTTTAAAATTAAAATTTTATCTGTTGACTACGTTTTCGCGTGCGCGTATGACATTTATGCTTAAATCTAACCCAGTATCATGAAATGGCCAATCTTTTTTCGTTGGTAAGGTGGAGCGCCTTTGATAGATAGAAGAATACTTCTGGTAAGAACAGTGTGATTTCACGCACGTAGCATCTTAGAGCGCAGCACAGAGTGGGAGGACAAAATAATGTTTTTGAAATAAATTTGACATGTTTGAGGAGAGAGTGATGAGATAAACACAGATACGTATTGAACAAGTAATTAGATCAGTGAGTATCTTTAAAAAATCGTAATCATTGTGGTCGTTGTCATCAGTATATCTGTCTCCAATATGATCATATGAAATTACTCGTTCTCATCGCATTATTTCCTTTCCTCTTCTTTGTTTCATTTAACAATTTCGATTCACTTCATTTATTCATTCACTCATATATTCATATATTCACTCATTTATTTTATTTCATTTCTCATATTGAATTTAAAATTTATTTTCATTCGTTTGCTTGCGTTATTACTACTTTTACATTCACGACTGTTTAAGGCCTAAGGCCTTAAACAGTCGTAAACGTAATGGTCTTCTAACGTCTATTAGTAAAACGTTCGTCCATCCGTTTCATATTATATTTATTACTGCTGGTGCTCTTACCGAGTGTTCTTTATTGCTCATTTCATCATACTCTTTTTATACTCTTATAATCAGTACATTCTTAAAATATTATTATTAATGTTGTTTTTGCTATCGTAATGATATCAATAATAATTATTATTGTTATGTGTTATCATAATCATTGTTATTACTATCAGTATTACCGTCATAACTTTTGAAACCCCTAACAAGATGTACCAATTTTACTTTATATTTACAATATGCATAAAATATAGCTAAGGTATTAACTAAATGTTTGCAGAGAAATGCCAATTCATCATAAATTCATATGTATGTACATATAGCAATTATCATTGATGTTGTTTTATTTATTTTTTATACATTATCGTTGTGTGTTATTATCATTATCAATATTATTATAATATTTAGATCATAAACAACTTAGGACTGACAATAATGCAGATGCGCTGTTTCATTTCGTACGCAAATAAATTATTCATTGATTTTTATTATGAAGATTTTAATGTTGTCTGTTGAATCTACGCAGTGAATCTCTATGCGAGTCCTCGAGCCAGTCCTAATATATGTATAAATAAGTTATATTTATGAAGTAAGAAAATAATACGAATACCTGTTACGTGCATAATATTAATTAAAAATTTTATTGAACCGAATTGAATCTATTGAAATTTTCAAAAATTGAGATGAATAATACATGTAATGATAACGATATACACAACAGGAGTCAATGAGAAGGGAATTGGGGACTTTTCATTTTCCTCACAAACGGTTTCCATCCTTTCAAAAAAAAAATAGTTGGTTACGCATAGTTCACTAGGCCACACCCAGTGTTCCCCATTCCCGAAATGAAAATCCTGTATAGAGTCTGATATAGTATCTCATACATAAATGTAGAGTTATCCTGGAAAGTCTACTAACCAGTTTTTTGATTCCCTTATTCATCTCAATTCTTCACATCCTCAATTTGTGTATCAGATTGGATTAACATAAGAAGAGGATTCAATTTTCAAACGTTAGCGCACACCAACTAGACAACTGTTCAACTGATTGATTGTATCTATCTATATTTTATAAACGTATTTTTCATGAATTTATTTATGTACGTTATCATATACGTTATTGATATCATGTCACAAACCTAAGCATTCATCCATCATGATATAAGCAGCAGCAGCAGAATAAGTGAATTTCAGTTGCGTAATAAAGTACCATAAAATTTGGGTTTGCTTAAATAATTTCAAAAAAGCATTTAAAATTGCCTTATAATATGTGTTTACTTCGCATATACTATCACCATCAGTAATACATTAAGTGAGGTATTATCTAATCCATCCATCCATATGCATAACCTTACATATCCATCCATATGCCCTTACCTATGCATACACAAATATATGTATGGAAATGCCTACCATTCTGATATCCGTTATATGTTTTGCATGTTTGAGTCTAAGTAAGTACTTATATGAATGGGTGTATTATGTCCATATTCCAGCTAAGAAGCAGTTAACCTATTCAAGCAATAAATAACAATAGTAATAATAACAACAATATCAACTACATTTCTGTAATCATTCAACTATGAACAATATGGCTACTATAGACACGAAAGTAATGCCACTTGTGGTTGCAAACTTATCTGACGAGCTAATATTTTATTCATTGAAGGTGACCACCGACCCACTGAGCGATTGATAACTATATTTAGATACTTCTAGTTGATTGGCTAGGTTTATTTATTTACGATTTAATTTATATGTGCCAGTAGGTAATTGACGAATTATTTATTAATTCACTGAGTGTAGATATATCATATCTTTACATTATATTTGTTGCATGTTTAGGTTTGCAATATCTGTGTATTTGTTGTGAATAATACCAATTACATGGCAGGGGTGGCAGTAGAATCTGTGTAATCAGTATGAGTACTAGCAATCAGACATAGTTTGATGTTTGGGAATGTAAAGGGTTTACGACGAATAAAGGAGGTTAATCCCATGAGGTTATGTCATGATCAGATAGAAACATTCATATATAGATAAATATATTTTTCTATATTTATGTATGTTTATAGTCATGAGTGTCAGTTGAAAGGGATGGATATGTGCTTCTATTCGGGCCTTATCTTATTAAACAGTCAGATAAGACGGACGTTTGTGCATGTAGTACTAGGTGTAATCTTCAGCAGATCATGAATTGGTAATATTTGTGTACGTATGTGTGTGAATGTATTTAATAAGATAAAAATTCGTTGGAACTGATTAATTTTTGGATGAATTTGAGTGAGAAAATGCTGTTTAAATAAGCGTAATATTATCGTAAGTTAACGTAAGAAGCGATGAAAGAAACAACTAAAGAAATGGTACTTTACTAGAATGAATGCAACTTTTACAACTCATCTATTTCAACTGGCACTTCCAAGTAATTCTGTTCGTTTGGTTACATTTCGTTCAATCGTTCATATCTTCGTTGCCTTTTCGTGGCTTATTTTAATTATATGGTCACAGATACATTCATCCATCCCTCCATATATCCAGCATACAACAAACACTTGAGCTGCTAGCTCAATTTAGCCTAAACCTAGGCCTAACTAACTAACTAACACTTGACCAGGAGAACGGGCTGGCATGCAGGCAGCAGTTAGGACTTAGGCGATAGTAGATAGATAAATGTATATTCATGCATATATGTTTACCATACATCACATTCATTGATGAGTGACGACGAAGAGTTTAGTGATTGACTGACGACTAACTGACTGCTGTTGTGGTTGATCTTAATTTCAAATTGAATTTTATTTTTATGTTACATTGCAAGTAATTTCGTTGTATTTCAATGTGGGCTAACATTTATACGACGTATATGTTGATTTGTATGTGTGCTTATACATATGTATCTTTGTATTTCATTTAATTGCATTTCATTTCATGTTATTTCGTTTCATTTATTTCTTTTTTTTCATCTTAATCTTATTGAAACTAATTTCACCCTTTTTTTATTTATCATGTTGCACTTCTTTTGTTTCTTCTATATTCTTCAATCTACTCCCTGTTACTCCAGTCATTCATCCATCAGTAAGTGAATGAATCAAGTAAATGAAAAAAAATATAACTATAATATAGGTAATAAATGTAAAATCTATCAACTGTTGTCGTGAATGTTAATGCTGCATGTAAATTGCACAGAAATAATCATGTTTCAGTTTTACACGCTTTGAAGATTGCTCTTTTTTCTCATATTTCATTGCGACATTTGCATTTTGTGCAATAAACTTTTAATAAAGACGCATGATTTTCAAAAACGATGAATGAAAAACTCATTGGCCAACTACTGCAATCATTCGGATTAATTCAACCCACTCCCATGCTGAGCTTGAGCCTAGGTCAACATCTGAGCCTGAATTAAGCGAATGAGATTGGATTGTTTCCATGTAATTTCTGCAAGGTCTGAATACACTTTATGTTTACCGTGTTGACCGATTTGCGGGATGCTGTCAAAATTTCAGTTGTACCAACTTATGTTCTGCTTGCATTGTTCTCCTCTCCACGTCCGTTAAACTTTCACCTCAGTTTTGACTTGGTCTTCATACCTTGGCAAACTGTTCCAAAAATTTTGAGACCTGCTATCGCCTTCTGAAATTTTGCCCAACATTTCCCACTCTGTCAGGCTGATCCGAACGTTTCATGAGCTGGCGCCGGCCTCTCACTTTTGGGCAACCTCACTTTGGGCAATTTGTTTCCAGCAGATTATGATTACGAATGGGATTAGAATGGATAGGGTCTGGGTGCAAGCAGTTCATGCCAATCTCTACACAGCTCCAGTTTAGGCACAGGCTTACAAGGAGCTGAAGTACATATGTATGTATTACACGAGTTTATCATTCAAGTATGGATTATTTGCATATCATCGATAACCATGCTAGCACCAAGATAAAAATCTTCAAGTAGGTATATGTGTTACGAATTAAATAGATAAGATACATTTGTAACAATGTTGAAACGAATGATTGAAATGAAGCATTTTAATAATGAAGTGAAACAAAGAAGAACCTTTCATCATCCACCCCTAAGGCGTTCCTTCTTTCATCACGTCCGTCAGAAGCCTTTCACTCAAATCAAATCCAGTTAAATTTCATTCCATTTCAGTCAAATCTCTTCGCTTTGTTTTCTTCCTCAAAAAATTTATCGTTTCCGATTGTTGGGTGTGTTCATTCGAATTGAATTGAAGAAGAAGTAAATCAATGAAATTCTTCAGTCACCCATCCAATAAAAGACTTACAAACGATCTATATTTAATATGTGTAAGATATATCACGTTGAAAGTGAACGACCTGAAGATGATCGAAGTACCAATTTTCAGTTTTCAACAGCAGTATTTATTTCATCATCATCATCATAATGATCAGCCCACATATTTAGTGAATATTCAATGTTCACAGTAATTCATTTCTTCAACTCCTGCATTCAATGAATATTCATCGTAGTAAAAATAATACTAACAAAAGCAAGAACAGTAATATTATTATTGGTACTGGTTATAATATAAATGCAATCGTTGATGTTATTTCTTAGACTTATCATATATTTCATCTTAACGAATGCACTCATCAGCGCTCTTCTATCAGCCTCATCGACCTCGTATGATGATTTTGAGATAGATATAAGCCTACCGAATGTTGTTTGTCGACAATGTGTTCAATTATGGCGAATGGTTTCTAAAGATAATTCACGTGCTTCCACTTGTGGTCCAAATGCCCGTACGTGCACTGGAAATGCGTGTTTCATGCGTTAGTTTTTCATTAATTTCAGTATTCTTATCATCATTATTACTACAATTACTCGTGTCATTCTGATCCCCTCTTCATAAAGACTTTAATATGTGTTTATGTGTGCACTTTTTAACAACCTCAATGTTATCTTTTCTCAATTTATCAGTCAATATTTGAATATCTCAGTACTGTTTTTCAGTTTGGATTGTGCTAGCTAACTATTATGTCATCAGTAATCTTACAAAATCAATCAATTTTGAAACGAATAAATGAAGTCATTAGCAGAAACAACTGAATAAATTTCAGGTCAATGCAAGCATTGCCCAGTCTATCAGTATATGTCCGGTTGTTTGATGTTAACCGAATGGCAGATATCTGATTTAGCACTTTCAAGACAACGCGCTGAATTATTGGCGACGCGAGTGGGTGCCACATTGCTGTGTGAAGATTCGGCCAATCAAACCACATGTATTTGTAATCGGAAAGATAAATGTAACGATATTCATGCGAGAGCACCATTTTCAACCTACACTGGTAGTCTTTTTTGGTTGTTTATTTATTCATTTGCTTGTTGGTTGTCTTTAAACCGTTATGTTGATTCGTTCAGTAATGTCTTGAAACGAATTGAGGTAATCTTTTTGGTGGTATAATAAACTTTGATGCGGCAATTGCGAGAATAGATCCGCGGTACGGCGAATTGCTGCGATCGAAGCAACAACACCAGAATACGAACCATGCCTTTCATCTCTACAATTCTTCATCACCAACCAATTATTTTTATTTATTAGTGTTTTTGCTCTTACAGTTCATCATTTTCTCGTTGATCTCAATGTTGCTCAATTTATAACATGTATTTTCATTCGATGATAATTATGATGCGTTATCGTTGATCTGTTTTTGCTTGAAACAGTTCAGTTTAAACAGATCAGTTGCGTTTGTATAGTAATAATAATACCAATAATAATTAAGGCTTCAAATAAACAGATATAATAAGCAAATAATATATTACCAAAACGGATGCGTAAAGAAACAAACAACTGAGCAACAAGTAATGGAATGGAATGTATACGATATGTAAACATCAAGAAATTGTTTTGTCGTCGAGAAATTTTAACAAACGAATGCAAAAATTTAGTAATTAATATGATATGAGGAGAATATTCACTACACTCAATCATTTCTTCCTCGTTGAAAGTTTTTGGCGTCAACGGTGGAGGCTGAATGGTCTCCATGATGACTCAGGGTAGAGTTGGGTCGGCGGCCAACAAATCGCGAGGGCCCGCTAAAATTCGGTCGGTAATTACCGACCGATTTTCGGAGGCCACCGACAAGACATTCCGTCGAGGACCACCGAAAAAAAATTAATCGTTTCTCAACAATAGCTCAGCGATAAGGCATTTAACCGGTAATTTACTCGAAAGCAATTGGTGTACCAGCGTTATTGATATTACCGAGACTGAGCAGGACTATAATCTCGCTTGTATCTTGTTATCTGTTCGTGTTATCATGATTGTGTATAGATCGCTCTGATAAAAGCGTTTGACTCTCATCAGATCAGTTTCACCTTATCTACGCTAAAGAAATGAATGCAAATTCAATAGAACCACTCGGTGGAGGCTGAACGGTCTCCGTAATAACACGAAGGTGTAGTATTAAACCGGTAACTGGCACGTCGCGGGGAAAGTTTGGCTCGAAACCAATTGGTGTATTAATGTTACGAACGTAATTTTCATTGCATGGCGCTTTAAAATACATTTTTATAATAAGAACCTTTATAATAATTCCTCATGATATATTTTATAATACACTTCATGATGAAAACCAATATATTATAATGCAATCGCAGTATATCGTAGTGCATAAATTTTAATGAGTCTCGTTAAGTATTAGATTTGGCTCCTTCAGTTCGAAATTCAGAAGCTGTAGAGGTCATTTCAAAATAATTGGGAACTTTTCGAAATTATATTACATGAGAGTATAGTTTAGTTGAACTTTTGTTAGAATGTGGTGGATCGACAGTAATATTAGAGCACAATTTATTGAATATTATCGAGTTATCAATTACAATTACAAAACCAAGAAAGTGGCCGATCAGCGGCTCTTATAGTAATCAGACGATTGATGATAATTCCAATAATAATTCAGTTAACTAAGGCAGATGCCAATCAATGGCTTTTTCACAATTTCAGTATAATTCTTACGATTTCAATATAGTTTCGACCGGTCCAACGGTCTGCACGCGCGTAGATATGAACTTCGTTCTGGGTCTTCTTCTTCTTGCTTTTTAAGCCAATCCTTTGTTCGTGCTTTCCCATGTTCCTGGAAGATGGTATTCGTAGATAAGGTCATCTGCTAATGCTTTTAGCTTTCAGATAATGCCTTTGTTTTGACTGTAGACATGCATTTTTGCTTGGAATGCATCTTTTCATAAATATGCAACAAAGAGAATGCAACAAATATGCAACAAAGATGTTGCCTTTCTCATACATTTATCTTTTAATCTGATCATTCCATTGCATATTTTGGGAATTCGAAAAGTGCAATGTTTACAGTTTAATTCAAGTTTATTTTTTGGGTAATCGTAGGCACAATGCTTCTCGAGCTACATCAAACGTAACAAAATCATTTTCCTTAGACTGGCGCTTAAGATTAGAGTGAGACAGAACATGGGACTCAGGCTGAGGCTTATTCTGGGCTTAGTCTGAGGCTCATTTCATATCCTTATCAGAGCTTACCACATGGTTCACGCTAAGGCTTAGCTACATGGCTGAGGCTAAGGTTCAATTTGAAGTTCAGCTTGCGATTCACTCCGATGCTTACTCCGTACTCAGAGTATAGCCCATCCGCTTCCCATCTTTTTTTGGTTGATGATTCATTTTTTTGCGGGTGTTCCTTTCAAACAATTGAAGAGGTTGAGATGATTTAGTTCTGGAATGTGATTGTGATTCGCCTTTGTGTGCGATGGTATCGAATTTTTTAGTATTCTAGGTGTTAGAATTTTGGTTCCAACATAGTATATATGAATATGAGTGAGTGGATATTGGATTTGAATATGATTTGAATGTTTTGACTTGTTTCCTATGCAATGATGATGTTCATGTTTCCATCGGATAAGTTATAGTAATACTTAACTTACTAACTATACATATAGTATATGCACACATGTATGTAATAATGTAATGATAAGACTAGTACTGAGCGAAAGTTCTAATACACATTAATGTGTATGTAAGAGCGTGCGTGGATCAACTTTAGATCGAATGTAAAATTGATTGATTGGTGGAATGAATATGTGATACGTTAAGTTTTAGTTTTGTTGATGTGTTCATCTCCTCAGTAGGGAGATGACGCTGATAGTTAATCTTTTTGAAAGAGATATTTATTCATCCAGAAATATATTTTTTAATCTTATCCATCCGGAAAACTCGCAGATCTTAATATATACATAATGAAACTATTATATATATATATAATTATATATATATATATATATAT